TGAACCGCTGCTTCCTATTTTTTCCATTGTTTCCTTCTTCTCTTGAAATTATTATATATTCTTTGTACTTTCAGTACAATTATATATATATATATATATATTTACTACTTTACTATTGAAATATTTATGTATGCTGTTAGAGAGGAGGAGAGAGAAAGAGAGAGCAGTATGGTGATGTATTGAGTGTGGTGTGGGTAGCTGCGGCTTTTTATAGAGAGAGTTTGCAAGATGAAATTCGCCCACGTTATTAATATTAAGAACCGTTAATTTAACTCTAAATTTATATTACTCTATAAGCTGAATTTATAAAGTAATTAATCGCATATGAATTAATTTTATTTTTTTTGTCCTATAATAATTTAAAAAAACACATGGTAGCCTCGAGACCCAGTCTCTCTCGTATTATTAGCATCCCATACATGCATGGTTGCATGGGCAAGCACCCGCCATGTCTACGCGTTTCTATACATGCGCATGCATGTGTAAGTGTGAAAATCGTGCATATGTTTATGTTAAGGCACCTACTGACGCGTTTGTGGATATAGATGCATGATAGACATGCATGCATGGGCATGGCTGCAAATTCTCCTGCATACGCTCACATCTCTCTCTCTCTCTCTATGTGTCCATGTATATTATACGTGTAAATTCGTTCCAAAGCGCCTTTTTTTTCCCACGCGAATTTACATTTGCTGGCACGTCGAATAATGAGAATGGATACTGATGACAATCTTAACTACCAGTGGGCCCCACGAGCTGAAAAACGAACGGAGAGGATTTGGATTTTATCTATGTGGTTGAGAGATCACTGAACATCCAGGGGTCTGACGACGACAACTCCAAACAAAGAAGACGCGCGCGCGCGCACACAAAAAAAAGGGTTGAAATAAAAGAATGAGGAGAAGAATCATATCATTCATCATACGATGTTTTCTCCAGGAGGCTCGTACCTTTTGCTCTTACGCCTGAAAAACAATAGAATTCGAAACCCGTTTGAAAATTGTTAACACCAACAACGAAGAAGAAGGAAAACAGAGAGGGTCGCGTTCGATAACTGTAAAGAAAGATCTCGCTACGAGTTACACACACACACTTGCCTTGCTAGCGATGTTGTTGGAAAGCCAGTCGAGGCCCTCGTAAAGGCCTTCCCCGGACGTGGCACAAGTGCTCTGTATGTACCTGCAATATCCGAGAGTGTTAGGGTTACGTATCTAACGACGAGCCGAGATTCAAAATTCAGAAGCTGTGAATGAAGAAAGGTCTCTTACCAATGGCGCTGCCGAAGAGAATGGAGCCCGAGCTTGTCGGTTATTTCCGCGGCGTTCATCGCGTTGGGAAGATCCTGCTTGTTTGCAAACACTAGCAGAACAGCGTCTCTCAGTTCATCCTGCAGCGAGATTTAAAGCAAGACAAGGAGAAGAGGAATTACAAAGACATGATAATATATAAAGATGTGTGCAGGAAATCGGTCTTCGCTCTATTAGAATGCATATCTGGTTTAGTACGGATTAGTTCGGTGCTCAACCAGATGGACATTTTCAACATAGGAGTGCTTTGGGATCAAGGAACTAGTTCATACACGACCTCGAAAATGTGGAAATCGATAGAAGAAGTTCAAGATGATAATTATCGTAAGGAAAGCCAGACAACAGAGGTATGATTCCAGATGAAAAATGTTGGAAAGAGACAGACAACTGAACCTCAAAACCGTATCGAGCAGATAAATTTGGAGGAAGGAATTGATAAAGAATTCACCAACCTCATTCAACATACGGTGCAATTCATCTCTTGCCTCGACAACACGATCCCTGTCATTACTGTCCACCACAAATATAAGACCCTGGGTGTTCTGGAAGTAGTGCCTCCACAATGGACGGATCTGTTATTAAAATTTAAAACCATCAAAAATTGCTCAGGATATCATTTGGAACTTGGAAAAACAGTTCCAGAAGAATACGAGATCGAGAGGATCAAACATGTCAACTTGAACCATCATTACTACAGTGATAAGTACGGAACTTAAAAAATCCAAATTCCAAACGAACCCACATAGTACATAAAAACCTATGGGCAGATGAATTTTCCCGAGACCAGAGAATGAACTTCACCAATGACCAATCATCAATGCCACAGTTAATTTCAAGATGTCTACCTTGTCCTGACCTCCAACATCCCATACAGTGAAGCTGATGTTTTTATACTCAACTGTCTCGACATTGAATCCTGCCAAAAACAGTCAATTAGTCATAACGAGTTAAATCCTTCTACATCTAAATTAGTGCTGCAAAAACAATCAATCAGTCATAACGAGTAAAATCCTTCTACATCTAAATTAGTTCTGCAATATAGTTATGTATATATTAATATTACAGAAGCAGAACCGACGTCTGAGAGAGCAAAGAAGCTTTATGGTTGCACAATAAACTTTCAGGGAAGTTTCTAGAAAGGATTCAGCAACAATTCGGGTTTTCAGCGGTTAACATAAGAACCCAATTCCAGTTCAAAGTGTCATCAGAAGGGCAGAGAACTCAACTCAGAGGTCATCATATAAGATGAGATTACAAAAGCTTCACGAGATAATCGCCCCTTACCGATGGTAGGGATCGTGGTGACAATTTCACCGAGCTTCAGCTTGTACAAAATGGTAGTCTTACCAGCAGCATCCAAACCAACCATCAGAATACGCATTTCCTTCTTGGCAAAAAGCCGGCTAAACAGCTTAGTGAAGCTCAGCCCCATGTCTGTCTTGCTCTATAGACCTAATAACCATTCACCATATACGCAAACATAACCATCCAATAAAGCGCAGCGAATTCAAATCACAGACAAAGAGTACATCGAATAAACCTCAAATAAAAAGAGGTAAACAACATGGAGTAAGAGAAAATATGAAACTAATGAAACTGGATCAAGAATCTCTCACAAAGCAATAATCCAACGTCGAAGATCTAAGCACAGCGCAGACACGCGAGAATTCGACCAAACAGAAGCGGAAACAAAGATCAAAATCCAGAAAACACGATCCTCTAAGCAACTTCTGAAGATGTGACAGCAGAAAATGGATCGAATCATAAATCCAGAACCACAGAGCCAAATGCTTAAAGGATCGATCAAAACAACTCAAATGGAAAATCAAACGAGGCATCGATCGAAACGTGAGACTACATGATGAACCGACGAACAGCTAAGCTTAGGGAGGATCGAAGGCGAAAAATGAAAGATTTACCTCAGAAGAATTTATTTTCGGGAAGAGAATCCGCTGAGCAATGCTCCCTGATTCAGAGGCTTCGTCTTCGGTTTTGTCATCATTGTGGGCTTTTCATTTTATTTTTTTTTTTGGTAAAATTTTATTCTATTTGTTCTTTGGGCTTTTATTTGTCCAAGCCCACTTTGATTGTATATATACTTGTATATTAGTTTTAGTAATTTATTAGGTTTTTTTCTAATAATTGTGAAATAGCAAAAAAGTTGCATATCCATAGTAATCTCAATAAAACTGAAGCAAAAATAAAATTATATCCTAATTATCTTTTCTTTATAAGATTAAATATCGTGACGTGTACACATATCTTTGAAACGAGACATGCAATAAAAATACCAAAATTTTTAATTCACAGGAAGTTTGGAAAATGTCGAGGCACAAACGAAAATGAATACATATAGTGGGGTCATAATGAAAATATGAAAACATTGGGGGATTAAACCCAGATTTCCGTCCTCACCTAGCCTTGTTTATTCACTGCACATTTTATTTTGTTAAAAATAAAAGAAAGCTCTCTCTCTCTCCTCTCCCCCTCTCCTCTGCTGTTCCTCAGCTCCTTGAAACCCTTGACGACGATGGAGCAGTCGTCATCGGCGGCGTGAATCTCAGGTTTCTCGTTGCGTCGTTTTCGGTCCGACGGTGGAAAACTCCGACTCGGATTGCTTCCAATTCACGATCCCGCAATCTTCCTCTCCACCGCTCTCGTTAATTTCCGTTCCCGACATGCTCCTCCATTGTTTCGTGGAGTAGGTTTGTCTCTCGTGTCGGAAAATCACGCTTAATTCCGCCTATTGGCTCTGGAAAAGAGCGATAAAATCATTGGTCCTCCGATTGTTTTGGAAGAATTCGTAAGATATTGTTTTCTCTATCGCTTTTCCATTTTAATCCGCGTTTGTGAGTTTTCCGTATAAACCCTAAGTTTCCTGCTACTAATTGTTGTTCCCTGGAGCTCCCTGGAGCCTCATGATTGATTAGGGTTTTCCAGTGGTGGAAATTAGGAGCTTAATCCAATAGCTTGTGCGCAGTATGAACCGTGCTGTTCTAGGTTAATTTGTTGGATCTTGGGAGTTGGTCTTTTTGTTTCAAATCGGTAGGGGGAAAGGTTAAGTTGGTAATTGTTGTTGAGGATTGATTGTGGATATCGCTCATTAGGGTTTGGAGGGGAATAATTCTATTTACTTATGTTCTATAAGACTGCAAAGAATTTCATCCTCGTTTTTCTATTTTTTTTATTTTACTGTTTGTGCAATAATTTGATGGACATTAAACTGTTTCAGAGTTTGGTATGAAATATCACAAGCTCTGTGGTTTCTAGAGGATAAATGGAACTTTCTGTTTCCTCTCCGAAGCAACGAGTGCTATCTCCTCCCGAGTGTATGAGTGATCCGGAGGAGCAGGAAATCAGCGAGGAGGAGGATGATGATCGCAACCATAAGCATCGTAGGAAAGAAACAAGGTCTCAGTCCTTGGAACGAGATAGTTCAGATCAGATTTTCACAAGGCCTCACAGGAAAAATAATAGACATTCTGAAAATGGGAATTCTCTTAATGATCATGAAAAGTGGCATCCAGGTGGTGCAGCACGTGTACAGTTTGATTCAAACCAAAGGATTAGGCCAAACCAAACTTTTTCTAGGGACACCGGTCCTGGAAGAGGTAGAGGGAGAGACTATGGTTCCTGGGCCCAGCGTGGTTCCAGGTTCAACCCTGTTGATCTCTCATCTCATATGGTCCAAGTTGGCGGTATGAATCCTGGTATATTTGGAGGAAGGGGACTATCTGGTGTTTCAACCGCACAAAATGCACCATGGCCTGCTTTTGGAATGCTTCCTGGGATTCCAACTGGTGGCTTAGATACTCTCCACCCAATTGGTCTGCCAGGGTCTCTCAGACCACCCTTAAATTCTCCACTCAACCTTCCTGTTCCTCGGCAACGGTGTAGAGACTTTGAGGAGCTTGGATTTTGTCTCAGAGGAGACACATGCCCCATGGAGCATGGAGTGAATCGCATTGTTGTTGACGATGTTCAGGTGCCTTTTTTTCCCAAGTTGCTCGAATTCTTTTCTCTTCAATATTTTGAACCAAGAGCTTTTCTTGGATAATTGAGTACCTTTTGTTCAGTCCTGACTCCTGCTGTGATTAAAACTTTCCTGCTGCTATTATTCTTGATTATGCTGCTAGAGAGTATGACCTTTTCATGCCCTTAGGCATTGAATGCTGTTTGTTGGCCATGAAATTAAGTATATAAGCTCAATCTCTATTTCACTGTTGGTTCTAGTTAACAAGGCATTCTGAAACTGTCAGATTTCATTTCCTGTCTGCTAGTTGCACATCATGCTAGCGGTTTTCTGAAACATTGTATTGTGTGAATATCCTCCTATTACATTATTCTCTTTCTGGTGTAAAATTCAGTTTGCTGTGATTAATTTTCTTCAGTTTGGCATTCATGCAGAGTCTTTCACAATTCAACCTTCCAGTTACACTCCCTGGTGCACCTCTTCTGGCAGCTTCTTCTAAATCTGTGCCTACCCATTTTGGTAGCTCTTCTACATATATGAATGCTAAAGGGGTTAATGGAAAAAATAACGAGGGTGGAATGACTGTTGAAGGCTATCCTGGCGCTGTTGGAACTGATTTTTATGACCCTGATCAACCTTTATGGAACAACAATGCTGGTGAAACTTCAGGTGCAATGTCTGGCCCACATGGCATTGATGAAACTGTAGCAACAGTGGGTGATGGTAACCGAGATGAAACTGAAAATTTGTGTGGTATCAGAAACTCAAGAAGCATTAGTCAATCTGTTTGGGGCAGAATCTGTGGTTCAAAAGATGAAGGGAATTTCAAAGGGGAAGCTGATGCAACATTGAATTCATTGTGTGGTCTCGAAGATCAAGTCAAGGAGGTCTCATTCAGTTCATCTAGACAAGGAAAGCGGAATCTTGCTGGTGAAACTGTTTCCAAAATTGATTCATCCAAGGCACTTAATGATGCGATAACCGATACAAGGAAACACTCTCAGAAGGCAATGCGGACGCTATTTGTCAATGGGGTTCCCCGTGAGAGCAACAGGAGGGAGCTCCTTCTCGCCCATTTTCAGAAATTTGGAAAGGTTATTGACATTCGTATTCACTTAAACAGTGAGCGAGCATTTGTTCAGTTCTCTAAGCGCGAAGAGGCCGTTGCTGCTCTCAAGGCACCTGATGCTGTAATGGGTAACCGCTTTATCAAACTTTGGTGGGCAAATAGGGATAGCATCCAAGATAATGGCCTGAGCACTGGAAATGGTGCAACTGTGACCGGCCATGGTATTGTATCTTCTGGAGGACAAAACAAATTTCTTATTGCAACAACATCAAAGAGCAACCATGTTTCTGCCGCTCTGAAGGGTCCTGTTCTCCACACTGGTGAAGCTCCATACTCTGAGCAGGCTAAGCCTATGGTCACTAACGTTCCCAAGGTGCCACCTCAGCAGAAAAAATCAGAAGCTCTCGAGCAGCTGAAGGAGGAACTCCGGAAAAAGCAGGAAATGTTGGAGCAGAAACGTAATGAATTCCGCAAACAGTTGGCCAAACTCGAAAAAAATGTAAGAACTAGTAACCAAATCTTACTGTGAATCAGTTCTGTTATATGCCTTTCTTTTGAAAGGGAAAAATGTCATTCAGGTGGAAATATTTAAACCTGAAAAGCAACTGAAACACAAGTACCGACATAATAGGATTATTTATCTCAGAAACATTTTTTGAAAACTAAAAATGATGCAAAATGCTATTATGGTAGGCGAACTGTAGATCAGAATATAGCTTGGACTTATCCATGTTGCGTTTGATTATGAATAGATTCAGAAGCATGTTGTATGAATACTTTTCGTCTTGTAATACCTTTTATCGTCTGTCTCTAATCTTTGTTCTAAATCTTCTCAGACAACGGTCGTCAAGGGTGATGAAAATGAAGAGCCGGCTTCAAAGCGCCTTAAAGTGGGTACGCTGGCTGATCCCAATGCTTCCACTCCGTCACCAAAATCGGAGTCTTTGGCACAGAAGAGTAGTAAACTTGCCCAGAAATCGGTGCCCACCTTTAAGCTAATCACGGAAACACCATTGCAAGAATCAAAAAACGTGAAGCAGCGAACTTATCCCTTTGGGACGAGTATGAGCACTCCTGTGGTGAATCGATTCAAGCTGGACAACCGCACCACTACCATCAAAGTGGTTCCTCCTTTACCTACTGGTTTAGCTGATGTATGTCCCCTTTTCGTATTTTCAGTTTCTTTTTTTATCCACTCAATTAACAAATTCCATATCCATTTGATTAGAGAGAAAACCGACCCTGTCGTTGCACTCGTTCGCAATCCATGCTGGTGCGATATCGGTTGATCATGTCTGATTTTGAACTCCTTACTTTGTTCCTCCCAGGTTGATGTCTTAAAGGAACACTTCTCGGCCTTTGGCGAGATTTCCAAAGTGGACATAGAAGACGAGGGACCGAGCGATGGTGGTGGAGCCAAGGAAAAGGATACATCTAACAAAAACCGTGAAATCCATGTTACGTTTTCGAAACGCAGTGCAGCGGAGAATGCGTTTGCCAACGGCAAGTGTTGGAAAGGGAACGTCTTGCAGCTCGTGTGGGTAACACGGCAAACCGGTAAAGACCTGAGAAACTCGGGGAAGTCATCTTCTGTTCAAAACGTCACTAAAGCAGCGGAATCTTCTTCTTCCGACCCGATCACTACAAATGTTTCTGGGGAAGAAGAATCACATGACACTCACGTTCAGGATAAGAATGTTTCTGTGGAAGAAGCTTCTGATAACCGAGAGGACGATGGAAGGGACAACAATGAGGCTTCCGAGGCTGTTGGAACAGATGAAGAGAAACAGTCCGAGGAAACGATGAGGATCGGATCTGCGGAATGATTGGTCGGAAAAAGATGATCAAGGGCTTGTTGTACAGTGAGGTAATATTTGTCTCGGAACTCTTTTTTTTTTTTTTGGTTTCGTCTAGAGATCGTTTCGTGCCGATTGGCGAAACATTACAATTTTTGGCTGGCAGCTTTACATAATCTAAAGTAAGGGCTTTTCCTCTAAGTGTTCAGAGGATGTAACAAAAGAGACACGGTTTCGGATTCGGATTTGTCACTCTTTTGCCCATCGTAGCAACAAGCATTGTCTTGTTTTCCAGCTGTTAGGCGTTCAGGTGAAAAGAACAGGAATTTGAAAATTTTTACCCGTTTTTTTTTTTAGTGGTTATGGAGTTCAACTGTATACAGTTTTCGTTGTCTGGTTCAGGGCCTGTAGTTTTATTTGAAGTTTAGAATGATAGTATGGAACAGAAACATCCCGGTCATTTTATCCCAAGATAATTTATTTATCTTAGAAATTTGGTATATCCACTTTGATTTTAATTATAAAATATTAGTGAACTTTTAATTCAGACCTGGAAAATACAATTCATGTTTGAACCTTGAAAAATAAAATAAGAAGAAAAAATTAATAAAATCGCGGCAAATAGAAATCGCTTATCGGGGCCCCTTGCCCATATCAAGAATGATATGAAGGGCCTCTAAGGCCCAATAATCCCATAATTTTACTGTATAAGAAATTGGGTCCGTATAAGTTTAAACTCCGCACTGTTTAAGCTTATTAAGACGACACGTAGTTTCTCACTCTACCCATAGAACACAAGCTGTTCTCTTCGGGAAAACGTTAAAGCTCCGTTCCCGCATCTCAACTTCTCAAGGGCATCGATAAAAAGGAAACGCATTCGGAAGGAGGAGAAAAGGGTAATCGGAAGCGACGAATTTTGACAAAGAAGCGAATTTCGACACAAAAGGGTAACTGTAAGAGAGATGTTCATCTTTTTTTTCTTTTCTTCCTCCGACTTTTCTCTTGATCTCTTCTGGGTTTTTAACTGTTAATCACAAATCGTTCTTCTGGGTATTAAATTGTGGTAGGTTTTTTGATCGTGGGTCTAGAATGGTTAAACTTAATTTCTTTGAGTTCTGTTTTTTTGGTGATATTTAGATCGCTATCATTGTTTAGGTCTTTGATTTTTTCGATTGCAATGATCAGTGAGGAGTTACAAAAAGATAAAAAGAAGGGTTCATGGAGCTATGAACATGCGGTTTCAAATGAATTCGGTTGACCCATCACGAATTTTCTTTGATAAAAAAAACTATTGGAAAAAAGAAAAAAAAACTAAAACATAAATGATCGATGGAAGTGGAAAATGCATGAGGTTTGGTATTTGATTAATCTATGGTGTTGCAGGATCGTTCTCATGGCGGCTCTGGAGGAGCTAAAGAAGAAGCTGTCTCCCTTGTTTGATGTCGAGAAGGGTTTCTCTTCATCCTCAACTTTAGACCCAAATGACTCATATTTGGTAAGTTCAAACATTTTGATTCAGAAGAAGAATGCCGTGCCGGGTTTTCATGAAGCTTCTGATGTGGTAAAAAATATCATCTTGTGAAGTTATCAGATGGTGGAACCGTTAATTTACTTAGTAGATCATATGGAGTTTACAACATTAATGAGCTCGGGCTGCAAAAATGTGCTTCTTCTTCAGTCGATGAGTCAGATAATTGTGAGAAGACATATCGGTGTGCTTCACACGAAATGCGGGTTTTTGGAGCCATAGGCAGCGGGGCTAGTAGTGTTGTCCAGAGAGCTGTTCATATCCCGGGTCATAGAATTCTGGCCTTGAAGAAAATTAATATCTTTGAAAGGGTATATACTGCAGAACCCTTTTATTTTCCCCATTTTCCTTCTGCCTTCTAGAGTAAATATGAATGCATTTAGTTGGTAGGAAAATAAAAAAATGCTTGTTTCCATGATTCCCAGTTGCTTAATACTTTTCTCTTTTCTACTAGATGGATATGTAGTCAATAATTTGGATATTTTTCTCCTCCGCAAGTATTGTAAAGACTCCTTTTTTTTTTTTCTGAATATGGATTGGTCTCTTGATATTTATTGGTAAATGCTCCTGTAGAACTCTGGGTGTGGATAAGATACTGATCTCTAAGATAACATTAGCTTATGATTTGGGTAAAGATTGTTGTTTTAGTTAACAGACATTGCATTGGATAAGGTTTCTCCTCTATGTATAAGGGCAGATAAAAGTTTCGTTTTTCCATTGATCAGTTTCTTGATTTCTATGCTCTGGAATCCTTTGTTCTTAACTATTACTGATTGGGTATCCAGGAGAAAAGACAGCAAATACTCACCGAGATACGGACATTGTGCGAGGCTCCTTGTTATGAAGGACTAGTGGAATTTCATGGAGCGTTCTATAGTCCAGACTCTGGGCAAATCAGCATAGCCCTCGAGTATATGGATGGAGGATCTCTTGCAGATGTCTTAAAAGTCAAGAAGAAGATACCTGAGCCAGTTCTTTCATCTATGTTTCTCAAGCTTTTGCAAGTATTTATACTTATCCATCCATATATATTTCATTTGTGCCTCTAAGATTGACACACATATCACTAGTTGTTTCCGAGACACAAATGATGGGATTCATCCGAGGAAAGTTTATTGCTGCATATTTATGTTTTTCATGGATATAGAAATGCATTCATGTTAACCCGATATCCATTTGTGTCTCTAATGTTTTCAAGGGACTGAGCTACTTGCATGGAGTCAGACATCTTGTTCATAGAGACATCAAGCCTGCAAATTTGCTTATAAATCTCAAAGGAGAGCCGAAGATCACTGATTTTGGCATAAGTGCTGGCCTGGAGAATTCAATGGCAATGGTTAGTGATAAATCTCATGCTTCTTTTACCACAGAATTAGAATTACAGTATCAATCCACGGTTTTTTTTTTTTTTTTTTTTTTTTTTTTTTTTTTTTTGTTTATGCAATGATGGTTGCAAGTGTGCTACTTTCGTTGGAACTGTCACCTACATGTCCCCTGAGAGGATCCGGAACGAGGGTTATTCCTATCCAGCCGATATATGGAGCCTCGGTCTCGCCCTTCTTGAATGCGGGACCGGAGAATTCCCATATACAGCTAACGAAGGACCCGTCAATCTTATGTTGCAGGTGAATCAACTTGGTACCATTTTTTTGTTAAGTTGATTCCTTTCATGTAAAAAACTTGAATATTTCCATATGGCATGGTCGAAGATCTTGGATGATCCGTCACCGACACCCTCTAAGAAAGATTTTTCACCAGAGTTTTGCTCGTTCATCGATGCTTGCCTCCAGAAGGATGCAGATGCTAGGCCAACAGCCGATCAGGTATGTAAATAGAGACAAGTCGCCTTATGTAACATAAACATATGGTGGCCAGCAGCTCGTGATCAGTTCTTATTCATTTTTTTTCCTGGGATCGCTGTGGAAAAAAAGCTGACTTTGGAGAAGATTTTGTTCTAAGAACTGAACTTTAGAAGTATAGCATTGCTTCTGAAATGCATTTGGAGCATTTGAATCACGGTTTTGTTTTGTTTTATTCAAAATATCTATATTTTTACTAGGTCATTACTTTAGTTGTTAATGAGTTCAGTACTTGAACTGCTTGCTGTCAAGATTCGGTTTTTACAACGGGATTTTGTGTAAGCTTATGTGCTTTTTTCAGTCTTTTTGCATTATTTCTTCAGATATTCCAAGATCTAAGCTTTGATTAAAAAAACAGAAAAGAAAAGAAAGATTCTGTATAAGGATGACTGTCTCATAGGCGTTTCTTTGTGCTTGAACAGCTTCTGTCACACCCTTTTATTACAAAACATGAAAACGAAAGAGTGGACTTGGCCGCCTTTGTTCGGAGCATCTTTGATCCAACACAGAGGTTGAAAGATTTAGCAGATGTGAGTCTCTGATAATTAACTCTCTTTGAATTGTGTGGAATTTACAATATTGTTTTGTGTTTTTATGTTAAGTGTGCAGTGAAGATTTTAGTTTTGTGGTGTTTGTTTCAGATGCTTACTATACATTATTACTCGCTCTTTGATGGAGCTGACGAGCTTTGGCATCATGCAAAGACACTCTACACTGACACTTCTTCCACTCTCAGGTACTGAACCCGTCTCGATTCAAGATCACAGTTACACCCTTCTTCTTTCTTTTTGTTTTGGCGCGATTATCATACAGTACTGTAGGCATGAGACACCCGAAATTTTTGAGAATCCTGTCTACCCGCGAATCGGGTACCTGAAATTTTGGGTACTCATCAACCGACGAGACGAGCTCGAAGCTGTCGACGGTGAGAACTCGAGCTTCGGGTCTCGAGGGGAGAGGGGGCGAGCGAGGGAAGGCCATCACTTTCTGAATTTTGGTTGGAGTTTTGTTTAATTTGGAGAATCAGGGTTAGGGTTTGACCGAATCGACCCTTATCTCGCCTCCGCTTGCCCGAGTATTTTTCTTTTTCCTCCCACCTGGCCTCATCCTTCACAGCTTCGTTGCCTCTTCCCTTGCTGACTGGGTATCCTTACGGGTATCGTGAGCACTCGCTTTACTCCCCTGGGTATTCGACCCTCACGAGGTCGAGTCCGGGTTGTCTGACAGAGAAATACGAAAGGGCAAGGCCGAGGTCGGGTATGCAGGAAAACTCGGTATCCGACCTGTGTTCATCCGTACTCATTTATAATTATTATCAACGTAAAAACGTCACTTTATTTTACCCCCAAAACAGAAAAAATCGCAGAGTTTCTTGGTTTCCCTTTTCAGTTTCTCGGGGAAACACTACAAGGGATCAACCGAGATCTTCTCGGCATTATCAGACATAAGAGACACGCTGGCAGGAGACTTACCAGGCGAGAAACTCGTGCACGTGGTCGAGAAGCTGCAATGCAAGCCTCACGGGTCGTCGGGGGGAGTGGCGATACGAGCGAAGGGATCGTTCATAATAGGGAACCAGTTTCTGATATGCGGAGATGGGGTTCAGGCGGAAGGGATGCCGAGTTTCAAGGATCTATCGATCGATATCGAGAGCAGACGGATGGGTCGGTTTCAGGAACAGTTTGTCGTCGAGACAGCTGATCTCATCGGACGTTATTTCATTGCAAAGCAGGAGCTCTATATCACAAGCTAAGAGCTTCTTTCCTTCCGTAGACAAGAGTTGGAACTTCTGAGTAAGGTTCTTTGGTTTTGCTAAGGCTTTTACTTGCGCATATGTAGGTAAGAAATGAAACATGGGGGTATATATGAGAATTTTGTAAACTAAAGGGGCTAAATTGCTATTTAACTATAATGGTGCGAGTGGGATTGCCATTAACGATATATATATATATATATATATAAGCACGAAGTTCATATATATTTCGTTCGCGTTTGGTGCCCAATTTGGTTATTAGGATTAGGATTCAATATAGGAATGGTTAACAATTTTTTAAAATTGAATTTGAATAAGATTGTTTAAAAAATATTTATGAAAATAGAATAAAGCGATTGATATTGTTTTGGATCAATTAATGCATGTAGTTGAGAATTCGGGCTACATTTTTTTAATACTTTTGAACTTTCTTCGCTATTATACAACATAACATATAATTATATTATCACCGAAAATGTATTAATTATGACAAATAGCTCTGTGATTTTAAGACGATTAGTAGATGGAAAGGGATTTAATCATTTAATACCTGTGATGTTCCTAATAAACAAAGTTATAGTTGACCAAGATCCATTGGTTAACGTAAGGTAACCGTCTGTCACAGAAATCTGTATGACGGGCGAATCGAAGGGTAGTTAAAGGCCAATTTTACCGCCTCGTCACTTTATCATATCCCATGGGACCCGCATTTATGTGGGGCCTCTCCAACGTGATGGGGGTTTTGGCAGCCAATACGACATGAAAATGATATTTAAAGTCCCTTTCCCCTCCATTTTGATCGCCTCGCTTCTTCACCTCTCTCTCCTCTATTTGTTTCTGAGAAACCCTAGCTTCTAGAGAGAGAAACTCTTCTCTTCCATGGCGGAAGCAAAGAACATCGCCGGTGTGTCAGCCGCAGAGGACGAGCAGTATGGGTTCAAGCGGCAGGAGATGTATAGCAGCAACATCGCCGGTTCCGTTACTTCATACGGACGACATATTTTCCTCTACTACAAGAGTCCCGATGCGTGGCTTTCACGCGTGGAGGATGAAGGTCTCCCGCAGGTTCTTGCCTCGTCGCTCAAGGCTCGCAAAGCTGAAATCGCTGTTGAGGTGGAGAAAGTGTTCGATTTCGTCTTTAACCAAAAAAAAGTGCTCGATTTCGTCTGTTCGTGTCTCTCGTTTCAAATATTTTGCTTAGACATCCTTTGATTTTGTCGTTTTTCCCCGTAGACGAAGCTGACGGTCTGTGGAGGAGGTGAATCGGATGGAGACGTGTTGATTTTCCCGGAAATGGTCAAATACAAGTGAGTGCACTGTTTATTTTTTAAAAAATCTCAACTAATTTTCTTCTGAAAATGATCGACTAGGACTGGACTGCCTTGGTTTTAATTCTCGCTTCGAGGTTCGATTTGAATCATAGCTGATTAGTTTCTGCAGACCATTTTCATAAGATTCTAGTAACTGCCGAAGTTGGATTCTAGATCTTCAAGTATTTTACTCAGTTTAAAAGTATTTTGGATCTATAACACATACAGGATAAGCTGGTTTTCTACCAATGGGTTGAAATGTGCATACTTTCCTTCGTTACAGTTTGAGATGGTAATAATCTTTATCGTCTTGTTTTTTGTTGCTGAAGGGGACTTAAGGACTCAGATGTGGATGCTTTTGTTGAAGATGTTCTTGTTAATGGGAAACCATGGGCTCACGGGATCCAGGAGGCGTTAACCGGGTCCTTTGTATTTGTGTGTGCTCATGCTAGTCGGGACAAGAGATGCGGTGTTTGTGGACCACCTCTTATAGAGACGTTCAAGCAGGAGATAGTGTCACGTGGACTTCTGGATCAGATCTCCGTTTCGCCTTGTTCCCACGTCGGTCAACACAAGTATGCTGGCAATTTGATCATCTTCTGTCCTGATTCAGCTGGAAATATATCTGGCAATTGGTAAGAAAAATCGCTTGTATACCGGAAAAGATATTGAAATGTTATACTATGAGACGACCTTGCTATTTGAATGCAGGTATGGCTATGTGACTCCTGATGATGTGCCTGAATTGCTTGACCAGCATATTGCAAAAGGAGAAATCATACAAAGGATTTGGAGGTCTGTTTTCCTGCTTTTGTTTCTAGCCTGCTATAGATATCTCTGCCGAAACAGGTTTACATTTTCGCATATCGCATACAATTCTCAATGGCATCCAAAGCTGATAACCTTGCATGAGATGTATTCCCTTGTGTTGTGAAATTTTGTGGCTCCATCTTTTCTCTGGGTGGAATATCACTGATAGTGAATAGCAAGTGCTAGTATTATAGTGTAATCTTCTACTTTCAGAGATCAGTGTTTAGTGTATTGCCTCTACTGTTACTGAGCATGTTGTTTGCTAACAATACGAAGTTACAAGTTAGCATGTAATCTTTTTGTCCGTTGAATGCTTAGGTTTCAGTATTTTCTCCTTATTTCCACATAGCACCAGAATCATTCAGACACCTGAACCAAACAACTTTGATCTCAGGGGCCAGATGGGACTAATTGAAAACGAACCCGCAAAAGGGGATGGCCAGAAACTACCAAACGGGAACGGCTTAGCAGAGAACAAAACACGAGAGAACGATGGATTCACGGGAGGTTGTTGCCAGGGTGCAAATGGTGTGATGTCATGTTGCCGTGAAGAAAAGCCCGAACCAGTCGAGAAGAAAGGAATGTCCAAGCTGCCAAGCTTGTTCCGGTCACTGGAGAAGGACCAGGTGTTTAAGGCAGCCACCGTGTTTGGAGCTGTCGCAACAGTAGCCGCCGTGGCTCACAGCTTTTACCGAAGGTCAGGGTAGAACTTGAACCCGTGTCTGCCCTTCAATCTTTTTTCACTTACAAGTAATAATAATTTTCCCTCGAGTTTTGGTTGTGGATACATAGTATTAGTGTGCGGATTGCCACAGGAAAATAGGAAAAGAATACAATAATCTTGACACCACTTATCCGTTTTCCGTTTCGATGTGGGGCAACAAACATGCTAAAGGTCATTGATACGAGGTTGGGAAAAAACCCTATGATGTGTTTGTATCTTGTCTGAACCATTTTTTTTCTGTCGTTTTGCTTAAATATTTGTTTGTGTTAATGTTCTGATTGTTATTGTCTTTGCGTGCTAAAAGAACACAACGATGGGGTTGTCTAGCTTCGGTCCACATGCATAACCATAACCCTCCATATTTTTGTTCTATTTGGTCCGACTCGCATAACCGAACTCTTTTTTTTTAAAAAAAAAAATTGTTTATTTTTGCCTCTTTTCCCGATTTTGTTCATAAATGTCACATAATATGCGGTGTGAAATGTAATTCACATTTTCTTGGTGAAGGAAAAAAGTCGAGTCGATCAGACTCGACGATTATAATATTCTTGATGAATAATGGCAGTGTTCTTGATGGGTAATTTACATTTGCCAAAACTCATAAACTGGCATAGTATATTTTTCCTTTCGGTGAAAAGCTGGAACTAAAATAAATGGGTTTACAGTGAAAGCCTATTGGGCTTATTTTCATTATATGGCCCAAAATAATTAGATATATTCTCCCTAACCTAACGCACGGAATCGTCAGTGCGAGAAGGCAACGAACGAAGTATCGGAGTCCGCCATGAAAGAGGAGGGAAAAAGCAGGAAACGGAAGCGGCAAAAGCACCGCAAAACCCTAAATCCGAAGCTCCGTCAGTCACCGAAGAACCAGAACGACAAAAAACGTCCACGAGAGACCAAACCCCACCAAGTCCATGAACAAGGAGGTTCTTCCGCCTCATCGAAACGGTCAAAATCCTCTAATTTTCTCGACATGGTTCTCTCTCTCTCTCTCTATTTCTATTTGGATATTTTCTCTAGCCTTTTTTATTTTCATGGAAGTTTTCGAAGGTTTTGATCCACGAGTGTTGTTATGAATCGCAGCTTCGAGCGAGGTTAGCTGGTGGGCACTTCAGGATGCTCAACGAGAAGCTCTACACTTGCACGTAAGCTCTTTTTCTTCTGTTTGGCTCTCGAGAATTTGGAGTAATTGCAGACTGAATTGGTCTGTACTGTTCCAATACCGACACAGTATGTTTGATCAATGTCTTCCTGAGAAAACCGACCAGCATGCATCTAGATTCTAGCTTCAATCGATGTGCATTAGTGATCCTACTTTATGGTTGGATCAATATGCCTGTGTCGAGGAGTCGCAAACTAATTTCAAGTAGCTTTCTTCAGTTCCAAAACGTTTCGATTCATTCCCTTTCACCGTTTTCTCAGTGGAAAAGAAGCCCTCGACTACTTCAAAGAAGACCCCGAAATGTTTGATATGGTAAGATTAGCTTGAAACTGTAATTTCAGTCTTCTAGAAAATGCATCTTCCAACTTTTTTCAATCCTTAGTTGAATATCCGACCGAATCTAAAGCGCTCCATGTTTATTTCCATCATGGAAATCTCAATTCGTGTGGCTAAGAAACACACAAATTTGTTGGCTGTGGTGCTTGATGGTTATTCCGATAATTGACTTTGATTGGTCAGTATCACACAGGTTATCAAGAGCAGATGTCACATTGGCCTGAACTTCCTGTTAATACCATAATAAATTGGCTGAAGTCACGGAGCCCCTCTCTAGTTGTGGCTGATTTTGGCTGCGGTGAGATTTCTGATCCTTGTATGCTGCATTTTACTCCTTATTTTCTTCCAGCATATTGTCCTGATGCACCGTCTTTCAGGTGATGCGCGGCTTGCAAAGAGTGTGAAGAACAAAGTTTTCTCCTTTGACCTTGTCGCCAAGGACCCTTCTGTTATTGCCTGCGATATGTCCAATGTATGTCATTGTGATCGATAATGCATTCTTTATTTCATTATCTTTTCTCAGGCTTAGTGGTGGTGGTGGTAATGGTTTTGTGATTTCTCTGGCAGATTCCGCTTGAATCTTCATCCGTTGATGTTGCTGTATTCTGCCTTTCATTGATGGGAACCAACTATTCGAGTTACATCAGAGAAGCACATAGAGTTCTACGCCCAAGGTTGGCTGGTTTCTTCCCTGCCTGTCTGTATGATTATGTCCATGCCTGGTTGGTGTGTATGTATGTATAGAAGAAGGGAACATCTGATTAACCTTGGTTGGGGTGCACTCAACAGCGGTTGGCTTCTCATAGCAGAGGTAAAAAGCAGGTTTGATCCAAACAATGGGGGAGCAGACCCAAAAGCCTTTGTGAAGGCAGTATGTGATCTTGGATTTACGTCGGTCTCAAAGGCAAGTTATCATATAAATTCCCCAATTCAGCCATAATCAGATGTTCTTTTGTTTCCACTGAGCCTTACCTTACATCCCTTTATGCAGGACTTTTCAAACAAGATGTTCATATTATTTCAGTTTCAGAAAAAGGTCAGTGAGGACCCTGTCCTTTTAGGTTTTAGTCATAGCTTGGATTTATATCCCTGAGGCTACGCTTTTACCATTTCTATGACTCTGAACCTCTATTGCTTTGTAGGAGAACCCAAATTTGAAGAGGAAGGAAGTAGAGTGGCCAGAGTTAAAACCATGTTTATACAAACGCCGATGATTGTAAGTGAACACACAAGCCCTCGTTCTCGTTCTAGTTCCGACATAAGATTATGCGGATACACCGTACACGGGCCGATCTGAATTCTTTTCTGTTATAGGCTTTGTAGTTGTAGCCTATCTAATCTGCCGCGAGGGTCTGATATGTATGATGCAAGGAGAATATTGTCTTCGAGGCTATGCCGATCATATAAATGATCATCATAAACTTCGTCGGTTTACATAATCTAAAGTCATGTTTTTTCTTCAAATCTTGTGACTATTTATACAGTTTTTCATTTCATATCATAGAGGTTTTGTTGTTTGTGTTTCATGTTTAGTCTTCGGCTTGTTTGTGTTCTTGTCGGTAAGTCACACGCACACATGTGTACGCGGCGAAATGATGAAATTTAAATGTTCGTGGATTCAACTCAACCCCTTCACAAGATTTGGACCAAAATCAAAGAGATGCTCAGCGATGTTACTCGTTGGACTCTTGAGGCCCAAAATTTTATCAGTCCAAGTGCTCTCTCGAGAGGAGCTAAGATTCAGTGCGAGCAAGAGCACGGGAAGCAATCTGGGTCCTCTCCGAAATTCCGCCGTTTCACTAGAAAAGGCAAAATCGCGACGATCGGCGGAGAGAGAGAGAGAGAAGGGCGCGATCGATCACTGGCCGGAGAGTTCGTGTTCGTGGTCTGGTTCTCCTGGTGTCCGCGTTGTACATCCTGTTCGTTTCTTTCTCCTCTCTGTAAGAAAACTGGCATTTCTAGGGTTAATATAGGTTTGATATTAATGGCCAATATTGGGCTTTGATTGGCCCATCGGATGGTTAAGATATATATATATATATGTGTATGTAACATTTCGCTGGTCGAACCCGGATCGCCCGCCTGAGAGAGATTCATCCCTAAAACCCTCAAAACCTCGCTCTGGTTACAGGTCCTCCTGTAAGAAAATCTCCGCTCCTGTTCTTGTTTGTCTACCTGGACAGATGTTCGCGTCGAGGAACCTGCTCAGGCGTTGCTCGAGAAGTCATTTATGGTCTTCATCGTCCGTCCTCCAATCTGATTCCTTCAGGTAATTTCTTTCTTCTGCAGATCCTAGCCGATCATTTTCTTCTGTCGGATTTTGGGGTTTCTCGTAAACCCATCTGCAGTAGCTCTTTAGACATTCGAATTTTCTCGCTTAATGTCCGAATTCCAGGTTTGAGTTTTTGTGTCCGTTTCTGGATCAATCGTGATACTTCAATCTTCTTTTCGACGGTTTGTAGGAATCCGGTGCTGTTAAAGGAAGCCTCCACGAATCTGATTCCGAGGAATGGAATGCAGCCGAGCAGCTCTTGCGAAGGAAGTTCGAGTTCATTTCCGTTTTTTGTGTATCATCCTTTCAGAGGATGGGCTCGGGCTATGTCGACATCAAGGGGGCGGAGCATGAGGAGCAAAGTGGAGAGCCGAATGCGGAAAGAATCTGGTAAAACCCTAAGAGAGATAAGGAGAGCCAAGAAGTTGAAGAAGAAGCTCATGACCGATGAAGAAAGGCTCATTTACAACATCAAAAGGGTATCTTACTCCTTCTCTTTCCTCTAACCTACAACAGAGGATATTGGATAGACACTACCACAATCGATTTCTCGATTGTTTGGCTGATTAGATAAACGGGTAGTGTCCGTATTTACTAAAGTTTGAGGCTTTTGTGAATCGCTTGTCTCAAGAACGTTGGAGTAGAGCTTCTTTTACATGATAATTATGTTGGACAGTTGGAATATCTGTCAGGTGGAGATTTTAACACGGTGAAATGAATTGGGTAATTGGATCACTGAATATAGGGATAGTTCATAGTTCTTAATTTTTACTTTTCATGAAATGTTCTTGTATGTTGAATCCAACACAGGCAAAGAAGAAAGTGGCGCTTCTACTGCAAAAGCTCAAGAAATACGAGCTGCCAGAGCTGCCATCTCCGGTGCATGATCCCGAGCTTTTCACAGCCGAGCAGCTTCAGGCTTACAAGAAAGTCGGTTTCAAGAATAAGAACTATGTCCCCGTGGGTGTTCGTGGAGTCTTTGGGGGAGTGGTTCAGAATATGCATCTCCACTGGAAGTTTCATGAGACTGTTCAAGTCTGTTGTGATAACTTTCCTAAAGAAAAGATAAAGGAAATGGCTTCCATGCTTGCGAGGCTGAGCGGTGGGATAGTCATAAACGTACATAACGTTAAAACCATCATTATGTTCCGTGGCAGAAACTACCGGCAGCCCAAAAACCTAATCCCTGTTAACACTCTCACGAAAAGGAAGGTAAATCATATTTTTGTTCTCTCTTTTTCGTTGGTTTTTCCTTTTAGTTTATGCCTGTGATTGTAGCCTCACCTTGAGAAATTGTCCACCGAGGGAAATATCAGTTTAAGAAACATATTTCTGTCAGTCTAGGCACTCCAGGGTTACAAAGCTTCTTCTTTCTTTTTCTTTAGAAGCAAGACCTTTGTGCTTGGAGCACAATTCTTCAGTTCATATCATTATTTAAGATATATACTTTGATATTCTTGGTAGAAAGCTTCTTTTTTTCTTCTTGAAAAATGAGGCCTTTACGTTTAGAGTGTGGTTCCACAGTTTAGGCGGTCTTGAAAGATGTTCTGTGGTGGTAATATATGAATGAATACGCATCTATTGCAGGCGTTGTTTAAAGCCAGATTCGAACAAGCACTTGAATCTCAGAAGCTGAACATAAAGAAGATAGAACAGCAGCTTCGGCGAATGGGTGTTAACCCCGAAGATCCAGTTGCCATGGCTAGCATCCAGAGGGTGGCCTCTACATTTTTCAATGCCATAGACAGGAAGGAAGGAACCCCATACATCTTCCATGGAGATAAACAACCAGAACAAAGGCCTAGTGTCAGTAGAGAAGAATCAGAACCGGGTGATGATAGTGACCAAGAGGAACTAGACAGATTCATAGCTGAAATAGAAGATGCAGCAGACAAGGAATGGGCAGCTGAGGAAGCCGCGGAAAAAGAAGAATATGGTAGAATAAGGTATTGGAACCGAGAAGAGTTCAATGGAAGAACAACAGGGTCTGATAGGCACAGATATGGACCCGATGATCGTAGCATTGGTGGATCCAGGGGTAGGAACGAAATGGATGCACGTATGAAGAGGACATCTGATGGTAGTGATGATGATGATGATGATGATGATGATGATGGTGGTGGTGGTGGTGGTGGTGGTGGTGGATGGGATTCTGATGACGGTGATGAAGACGGTGAACTTCCACATAAGTTTGACAGAGCTAGAACGAATAGGGGAAGGCAGAGGGAGGAATTTAAGAGAAGAGGCAGTGATCTTCGGGTGAGGCAGAATGAGAATGTGTCTGAATCAGAAACTATGTTTAGTGATCTTGATAACACAATGTGGGATTCAGAAGACGAAAATGATGATAAACCCAAGCCCAGGTTCTCGAGAGATGATTACAAATCAACCCGTGATGAAGACGAAGATGCTTATTCATATGACGAGAGACACAGGAAAGAATCAGAATATAAAAAACCCAGTTACAGAAACGGAGGTTCTGTAAATCATAAGAATGACAGGAAGCCGAGGACGGGAAAACAGAGGGATGAGGATTGGGACAGTGATTAGCTTTAGAGCAGCAGAAACAACATTTCTCAAACTCTGTTCTGCAAGAATGAATCTGAAAACATGAGATTCGAGAGTTCCAGTCTTTGTATAGTAACTCTTGGTTGGCTTCCGGTTATTCCATTAGATTTGAAGATGATCTCTACCGATTTGAGCAGAGCCTTCAGCTTTAGGGTCAGATCCTGTTTGATCTTTAGATCAGAAAAAAGGAAATGAAGAACATGGACTGCAAAAAGCTGAGAACCTGGATGTTGTTTTTTTATCTGTCGTCGTTTCTCCATGAGAATTTTTTCTTACATTTTTGCTGTCATTGTCACCTGTTTTCTATCATAATCGGACTAATTTTCAAGTCAAACTTGTGAGATTGACTTTTGTTTTTTTAAATTGTGCTTTGTTCGACACATAGAAGAACGAGAGAGATGGTTAGGAGTGGGGATAAGGCGTTGACAATCGGTTCTTGGGTTTACTTGTTCGAAAAGGTAACTTTTTCAAAGCCAAGGAGAATCTAACAGAACAATCACCACCACTTTGCCAGTATTAGCAAAAGATTCCGCCTCAAGAAAAAGACATAGTTAACTTGAAAAAGCTAAGATCTTTGCCCTGATGCTGCATTGGCATCTCTTGGTGTCGTTCCCTCAGAAAATTCCAGAATCTGAACCACACAAGAATCTTAAAAAAACAAAATCCAAGTCTCCAAACATTGCTTGTACCTGACAAAAGAACATGCTTTGCCAACAAAGCTTCTTCAGACAAGATCCATAAGCCAATGTGGATACATGGTCAAGTCAAGGGTGAGAAAAGGGTATTTATAAGATGATGGAACGGAATAAAGGTTATATTATTAGCCTGAAGAAGGAAAAAATCTGGGATATATTGCATCTACCCAAAATAAGCTCTCTATCAGAAGAAACAGGAATGGACAGAGACGCCGTTTTTAAATCCAAGATCCTGTCAGATTCTTTCTGGGCAACATATCTAACATATTCAGGGTGTTTTCTCTTCTTTCGGACACAAGATGGATGTGCTCTTCATTTCAAGAACGGTCACAGAGGCATCAGTAACAGATCCTGAAGCTTTTTGTCTCTGCCCGAAAAATCTACTATGCGGCTTCAAACTATACAAGAACACTTCAACATGTTCATATAATAATGTCAGCCACTTTCTCTAAAGCAGTTCCCAGGCAATAGGTATTTGTACTGTTCTGCATTATCCAGCAGATGGGAAGGAAGATGGACTGCTGAATAAGACCTTGGGATAGGACCCATCTTACTGATAATCTCCTTGAACGTGTGTTCCTCGGGAATCATGTCGAACAGATCACTCCCTTTGCATACAACCTCTTGAATCCTCTTCGGGTTCAGGTAATGAGAGAATCTGACACGGTCCGAGTGGCTATACGCTTTCATCTTGAATATGAACTCGCTTATATGACGGAAACAGAAGCTGCAGTGCCACCCGGCATCAGATAACTTAACATCACTCTGCCGAAAATGTGCATACCGAGTTTTCCCGGGTTGGTACCGGTGGATAGACGCTCTCCAGCTCTTGTTGTCGACATAGTACTCGAAAGAATACAAGTAATTCTTCAGCTGAAGGTGGAGGATCGGAGGAATATCATCACACCATCTCAAAAGATTAACGGTGTGGGCACTCGGGATCTCGTCCACATCCGACATGATCAACAAGTCATCTTCTTGAATCCCCGCAATTCTAAGCAGCCGATCCAAAGCGACCCTTTGATATGCTTCCTCGATAAACGGGTTCTCCCCTTTCTTGAACCGTCCCCCAATAGTCCCGTAAGTCAGCCGCGGTTCTACAAACTTGAACCGTTCCTTACTGCCCTCGAAAACCAATGGCTTAACCAAGCCAGTGAACGTCGAGTTTGACTCGAGAAGCACAAACTGAGACACGTAAGGGTAAAGCTCGTTCCAACGGATGGTTAGAATGTCCTTTTCGTTGCTGAACAAGACAGCGTCAAAGACCCGCCTCGGGAATTGGCGGATTCCCCAGCCGTGAAGCTTGCAGAGAGTTTCCATGGACACATTCTCGTGATAATAGTGTGGAAGGAGAGTGAATGGCTTTGGAGGAGATTCCCAAAGCGGCCGGAGGAAATAGGTTACCTTCTGACCGTGCAAATACATGGAGAAGATACAAAAGGGTATCACCACCAACAGGACAATGCAGGTTTTCATGTCGAAACCTCGGAGAACACACTTAAGCCTCGTCACAGCTGCGGCTCGTGATCCCTGCAGCAAAATAATAATAGTAATAATAAAAAAAAGCCAAACAGTTCAACAATGAAGAACAACAGACTGATGGAAAAAAAATTCAAAAACAATGACGGCAGAAATGGCGAAGATTCCAGATTTCTAACATAACTTGCGTTGCATTGAACCCAAGTCATAACCACTTGGACATTGTCTGAAAATTCAAAAAATTCCAAGCTCCCCTGTTAATTCAGGCGATCAAAAAAAGTGGCATTTCCAGAAAAAAAAAAAAACACACACAAAGCCATTATCAGATTCTCGTCATTTCAAATCCAAGTTTACCGTACAAAATTGCATAAAGGAAAGCACACATGAAACATAATCAAAAATCGAGTTTATGGTTGTTCCAACAAGTAATTTACGAGTGTGCATGGAGAGCTACCCGTAGAAGAAACGAACAGGACCCAATTTCCCTCCAAACCCAGAGACCAGAACCCAGCATTCGTCTGAAAAATCTAATGAAACAAATATAATTTCGACGAGGAAAAACATAACTCACCTCTCCACAGACATCATCTGTCTTCTTCGAACAGTAATACCCATCGGACATGGTTCACCGGAACTATAAACCACACGCCCGACGGCTGAATTAATGCAGGATTCGTTTAATGCTACGCACTATGCAGGATCTCTCGAATTTATTTATTTTTTCTCCACGGAACCGAGAGAACAAAAATGGAAGAGAGCGACGCGTTTCAGCTTCTTCTGGCCGTTGGATTAATCCAGAGGGTTTTAAATCGTACGGTTGACGTTACTCCACGTGGGGAGAGGAGGAGACAACGACAGCCGCTCTCGATTAGCGGCAGGTAAA